CCCCCCCCCGAGCTGTGCTGACCACCATTCTAACTTTATTTGATCGGAGCATATTGCAAATTCACACCACATCCTTTTCGCCTAGCACAGAAGAAAGCAATTCAGTTAATAAAAGTCTTCTGCAGATTGGCTCTGAAGCCTTGTCCAAAATAAAAGAAACAGCAGTTGAGTTTCCACAGACTGGCTTGCTGTCTTCGTAGTGCACAATACTACCCAGAAAGCAGAAACAGCACTCTTCATACGTGACTCTTAACTACCTTATGTTTCCTGATGCTTTAGCTTCCGGGAGTTTCTGCCACCACCACCGCCACCACCACCACCACTGTTTCACCAGCACCTGCTCCTGCCCGAGTGTCCCCAGCGCAGCAGCCTGTGGTGTCGTCTGTCTGCCCAGGTCCCACTGCTGTGCCCTCCCAGACGTCCCCAGGCCAGCCGAGTGGGAATCTGGATAGCATGCTCGTGATGCTGGAATCAGATCTCAGCCGCCAGGGCATTTCCACCACAGCTAAGGGGCTGTGTGCTTCCTGTCAGAAACCCATCGCTGGGCAGGTCAGCGCTGTCTTGTACGTGGGTCAGATATCTGGGTAGATCTGGTGGGTGCAAGCAGGGAAGTCAGGATGAATAAACATCCCATTTGGAATTTGGAAGGTGCTTCTCTGCCAACCTTTTGGGGAATTTTGAACTCCTACGAGATCCTTCTCCATCTTCCCTGTCATTCTGAATTATCATGGAAGGTATCCTTTCTATTGCTGTAATTTGGGTTTAGGCTTAATCTTGGGTTTAGGGTTAAGTTTAGATTTAGGTTTAAGCCTAGGCTTAGGTTTATAGCTGCCAAGTGCCCAGGTTTGAGCCCTTCAAGACGCTTCCAGGCATTTCAGAGCTCTAGCCCACTGGCCAAGGAGATGAGTGCCCATTAGCAGAGCTTGGCTCCTCCATCCTTGGGCCCATTAACAGCTGGATTTGCACAAAAGGCCAAGCTTGGTTAGTGTTCATTTTAGTTAGGGTTTTTTCCCCTCCATCCTTGGTGTTGTGCAAACCCATCTCGTTTGGCTACTTTACGGTTCATGTGTTGTATGAATCCAGGAAATGGGCTGATTCGGGAACTGGGTTAAGCATTGTTCAACTGCAGCCTGTGGAAGAATAGAGGAGCAAGAGACATTTGGGAGTGGAGGCTCTTTCGTAGCATCGCTGTCTAGTGGCCAGTGTGCCAGGAGCTAACGTGGCCTTCTTTTTTCCATGTTTCCTGGCCCAGGTGGTAACCGCTTTGGGGAGTACTTGGCACCCAGAACACTTTGTCTGCACCTATTGCCAGAAGGAGATGGGGGGCAGCAATTTTTTTGAGAAGGACGGCTCCCCTTACTGTGAGAGAGATTACTTCCAGCTCTTCTCTCCCCGTTGCGGATTCTGCAATGAACCCATCCTGGATGTGAGTCTTTTTCTTCTGCCTGGAGACGTGGTCCCTTACCCCAGTGCAGTCTTGAGCAAGCCCTGTGTGATCTGTGTGGTTTTTGCGAGAGTCCAGTTCTGAATGCGAGTTCTGGGATTTGTTCATTTATTTCACCATTTTCCTCATCAATAGCCCAAGTGGTGGATAGCAGCAGAGGGGGCAACGGTACAGTTTCCCTTTTTGTTTCAGACCACAGAGTTTCTAAAAGGGCCTTTCCTGTCTTTCGTGTTATGATAGAACTCAAACTATGATCACTGGGCGTTGTGTTATTTGCAGGATGAACCCCTGCAGTGCATGACAGCAACTTACAGTGTCTGAATCATAGCATGAAACGGGTGGCGCAAAAATGTCCTGATGGTGTTATCCAGGGTTTAATGACTAAGACTCCCTCCAGTCTAGCTTGGGTCTTAGTGACTACGTGGATATTCTTGTACAGGTAGTCCTCACTTAACGAGCATTCATTTAACGACCATTCAGATTTTCGACGGCACTAAAAGCTTTCAACTGGTCCTTGCACTTATGACTGTCACAGTGCCTCCACAGTCGTGTGATTGCGATCCGGGGGCTTGGCAACCAGCTTGCAGTTATGATGGTTGCAGCGTCCCAGGGTCACATGATCATCATTTGTGACTTTCCCAGCTGCTTCTAGGAAGCAAAATCAATGGGGAACTGTGTGATTCACTTAACTGCTGTGTAATTTGCTTAACGACCACATGATTTGCTTAACAACTGCCACAGAAAATGTCGTAAAATTGAGTGCAATCACATGATGCCTTGCTTAACAACTGCCCCACTTAACAATGAATTTTCTGGTCCCTATTGTGGCCATTAAGCGAGAACTAACTGTAGTTTCTTTGGCAGCAATATAGAAGTGGTTTGTCAGTGTCTTTCCTGGGTGGTTTTTAACTTCCCAGTCTAGTCTACATCTGTGGGATTTCCTGATTGTGCCCCATCCACGCGCTAACCAGAATGCAGCAATTTAGACTGCATTGCAGCCCACTGTACAGCTTCTGAAGCCCAGCAAACATACCCCTTGCCATAATTTTGCTCAGACTTTTGTGAATCACAGTGCCAGCACATTTGCAAGGAACGTTTACAAAGCCTAGTGCAGGACAGTAAATACGACATTTTATAATAGAGCTATTTGGCTGAATTGCTAAAGAATTTGATTATATTTTTATGTGTTTTATTTCTTCATTTCACTTAGTAGTCAGTAATAGAAGCTGAAGCTGGAAACCTTTCCCATGCCCTGTTACAATTCTTCGAAACTTAGTCATCTTAGATCCACATTCACCAATGTGTGTTTTCGTTTTTACTGTAGTACAGTGGAGATTATGTAGACAGTGAAACAATAACTGCTGAAGGTAGTATTTGAGCAATAGGATTACAATTAAAATTTTGCTGGAAAATTCACAGTGGGGTCCATGCCCGACAACCCAAAGTTGCAACATGTCAGAAATCCAGGTAACGTTCACAGCATCTAAGATCGAATTTGATGCAACGCAAGCCTTCAGTGGGACAGAATAGCGTGCAATTTCGGCATATCGCTCTGCACTGGGTTATACAGCAGGAATGGGCTGAAACGTGGGAGGCTGGAAAGAGGGCTGGAAAACCCAAGACAGGCTGAGAAATGCAGAGTAGCAATGCCACGTTTAGCGCATTTTCGACAAGGTGTTCTTTTCTCCCTTCTTCGGCATCCGTTCAGAAAATGGTGACTGCGCTGGATAAGAATTGGCACCCGGAACACTTTTGCTGCGTCAAGTGTGGGCGGCCCTTTGGAGAGGAAGGTCAGTACAGCAGCTGGCAGGGAGGGGGTCTTACTTTCACCAGTTTCATCCTGTTTGGGACTCTTCAGATGTACATAGCTGGATCTTTCAGTGGGCTTCAAACGTTCTGCTGGCGATTGAACTTGCATGAGTTCCATTCATCGGATGAGTCCCAAGAGAGGATGAAACCGGTCACGTGGTGCCTCTTGCTGGTCAATGTAAGTAAAAACACCACACAGGTTATTACAACCTGTTGCCTGTTATAAGGTAGCAGTCTGCTATCTCTCTGCTCTGAGAGCTAAAGAGAAGGGGGACTTTCTTAAGAGGAGGTGAGTGTGTCTACTAAATCATGGGCAAGTGTCTTGTTTGTGCCAGAGGTCACAGCTAGTTGATTTATGCCTCCAGAGGCCATAGGGAGAATGGCAGAGATGGAGTGATGTCATGGAGAAGGTCTGGGTACAAAGTATGACTGGGTGGCAATCTTTTTTACACACTCAAAAATGTGCAATTGAACATCCTTCTGTTGCATGGTCTTAAATGGCTCAGGGAACTAGGAAAATGGCACTTGTTGGCCTCTATGGACTGCCCGTGGCCCACTAAACCCCTCTTCCCAATCAGTGGCTCCCCAAAGGTTTTAAACTTCACTTTCTGTTGCCCCCACCCAACAGGCTGCTTCATGTTACATGGCTTGAGGTCCAGCTCATCTGGAGGGCCCCAGATTGGAGAAGGTTGTAGTGCCCTTAATTGAAGCTCCGCCGTTTCCTAATCCTGATGTCAGCACTGGAAAAGAAATCTAGATCAGGCCTTGTGCAGGAGTACGTGGCCACCGAGCTGCATCATTTTTGGTCCCTTCTCTGCTGACTCTCTGTCGCCCCCTGCAGGCTTTCACGAGAAAGATGGGAAGCAGTATTGTCGCCAGGACTTCTACGAGCTCTTCTCCACGCGCTGTCAAGGGTGCAGCCAGGCCATCTTGGAGAACTACATCTCGGCTCTCAATGCCCTGTGGCACCCAGAATGTTTTGTTTGCAGGGTAAGTGTGAGCTCTGGGCCAGGGATGGGCCATGGGTGGTCTTGTCAGGAGGGCCAGAAACCAATGAAGAGAAATTTCTTTTCTGAAGGAGAAGACATGGTCACCTTGAGTTCTCAAGCTGAAAATAGAATTGCTAGGCTGCAGTTCCCCTCTTAGACTTATTGCTTTAGTTTTAATTTTGCCTTGGCTACAACTGACAGGGAAACTCTCTGTGGGGAAGTGGTTTCTATTTCTACCCCAGGCTGTCCCTTGCAAAGGTGATGGGCATGGGTGGAAAGAAGAAGAATAGTTGCCCCCATTTGCATTTGCAAGACAAAGAAGACAACAGATCACTGCTCTTCTTCAAGTTAGCTCCTGAAAGCAACCTAGGATTTTACTTATTTATGTCTCTTAACTTAGCAAAATAACTCCACCTGTTTGTGCCAACCGAAGTTGGGGAATGTGGTAGGTTTGAGTCCCTTTAAGAACCCTCATATGCATGTTAAAGGTGGGACAGAGACGTAGCACATCTGGACCTATTAAATGACTGGGCTTGAAACAGCTGTGATCCCAAATTCTGATATGTAATGCCAAGTATGTGAGGTTGGTCTGATGCAGAACGGTGCTAACAGTTCAACATCCATGTTGCTGGAAAGGAACCAAGCAAAGGCAATAGAAGATGTCCTCAAAATGAGCCATTAGCAAAGCTGTTTTTGGAGAGTGGGCCCAATGCCTTACTTGGATGCACTGGGTCATGCTGGTAGGGATGGCGAACTCGGGCTGCAGGGCAAGGCAGTTGCCTTGGTGGGGGAGAGAGGAGAGAGACAGTGATCCACACCCCCTCCTGATCTGCCACTTGAGGTGGGGGTCTCACCTTGCCTTATAGAAGACCAGACCCTCTTACTGAAATGACCCAGCATGGCCGTGTTTAATTTGACAAAGAAACACAATGCCCCTTGCCTTTTTTTGGCCCCTTCTTACAGCTGCCACAGTTTAAAGCCAACATAATAGAAGCTAAACCAGAATGTATGGCACAAATTGGGGGGAAAATGTCATCAGGCAGAAGTGGAATCTTAGTTGGGGTTTCTAGGCTGAATTCAGGAAGTATAAAGGGCAAGGAAGTTTTCTTTTTAAAAAATGAAAGATCTGCCCAAGTCTGGAAAACCAGTTAAGATGTCAACTAAACAAAATTAAGTTGAGTAAAAACAAATGAGGAACATCGTGAGTCTACTTGGCAGGATCCATAGATTCTTAATAAACTCCAGCATTGCTCATCTTCTAAATATTCCGCCTAAAACCAGCTTCTGCTCTAACATTGCTTGGAGACAAGTCCCACAGATCTGTGAACTTTTTTTTTTTTTAATTTGTTAGATTGCACAGCTTTCCCCTCTGCTGTCTCCCAGATGGGCCAGACATCAAACCCTAGTAGCTTTCCAGGGTGGGAGATGGTAGGAATTGTTTGCCAACAAATATGAAGACCCCAGATGGGGAGGGGCATGTGCAAGATAAGCCTGTGCACTGGGCCAGATTTTGCCCGGAGGGTGGGAAAACCTTTGGAGAGCAATGCAGCCTTGTAGACCCCCATGGAATCGTGAGTGGCCCTCTTTGATCCCCCTTGGTTTGTTCTCCATTCCAGGAATGCTACACCCCATTTGTGAATGGCAGCTTCTTCGAGCACGGCGGGCGCCCGTTCTGCGAAATCCATTATCACAAGCAACGCGGCTCGCTCTGTTCTGGCTGTGAGAAACCCATCACCGGCCGCTGCATCACAGCCATGGCGCGGAAGTTCCATCCGGAGCACTTTGTCTGTGCCTTCTGCCTCAAGCAGCTCAACAAGGGCACCTTCAAGGAGCAGAATGAGAAGCCCTACTGCCACCCCTGCTTTATCAAGCTCTTTGGGTGACTGGGAGGGGCCCTGGCCCCACTGAGGTCAAGCCACGCCTTCTGCTGGCATGGGAAAGGGGGAGGGCCCATCGTCGGCTTTTGAGTGAGCCACGCCCACTGCCACGGATGGAAAAACCTGTGCCTTAGGGCCTCCATCCCAGGAGCCCATACACCGTTGCCAAAAGCCACACCTGTAGATCAGAGCCACACGCAAACAAGCAAGGAGGGAAGCAGGATGGATCTGCTCCTCTCACTCTTCTCAGGAGCTAGGCCTCTGTTCCCGCACAAGCAGCCAAGCGTTATCTCCCACCCCATCACAGGCTACTTTAAACCACCATGCCAGCCAGCACCAGCACTTCTGATAGGAGGCACTGCCTTAAGCCACATCCACAAGACTTTGAGGCCCTCAAAGCAGGAGACCCAGCTGTGATGGAACCACACCTCTGGTGTCTCTACCATTATGTCCAATTGTACGGGATGGGGGCATGGGGGTTGAGCTGCTCTGCCCTACAGCTCTTCTAAACCATAAAGCCACCCTTCTGGGAGGTGGCCAAATCACACCCAAGGTTCTTTGGAACATCTTGCTGTTCTTGTCCTGGTATTTAATTAGTGGAGAGCAATGACTACATTGTTCCAGGTCTACCTGAAAGCCCTCATGATCTCAACCCCCAAATTTATTCTGTTATAACCAAGGAGGATTAATATTAACTCCTTAGCCCACTTCTTCTTTTTTTTAATCATGTAGGAATGCAGAACTTGTAACCGTCCAAACTTTGCTAAAAACTGTAACTCCCAGAAGCTCCAACTGGCATACCCAACAGAGAGAGATGCTATGAAAAAGCTTAAGAACACCTGGAGCCTTCCACACTGGTTTAGGGTTGAGTTCTGATGCGCTGAGTGATTCATTTGTGGAGCTGGGGTATGTCGTTCTCCTGTAAGGGGGTGAGGGTTATCAACGTTTCTAAAGACATTAGTGGCCCAAGCATCTTTGTCAATGGTGGGGGGAATGACAAAGCTCACATCGTTGTGCAATACTGCAGCTTATACATTTGCATCAGATCTGAGGTGCAAGTATTTAAGGGTGGTGGTTGCATCGTGATGTCACCTTGCACATGTTATTTTTCCCTCCTTGTGGCCTGCTGTGGAGGTCTCTGGTTTACAGGATGCTGGAGTTCCTTGAAGGAGCTTTTGATAAGGGACCAGCTGATGTGGAAGAAAAGGATGTGGCGTGTTGTACTCCCCCCTTCCCTTGCGTGTTGAAAAAAATGCCACAAATGATGACACCACTTCTTTTATTTAATAAAAAAAAAAAAAACTGGAGAAAGTAGGGAGGGGAAATAGGTCAAAGCTTGTTGTCTGGCTGTATCAGGGCCATTTTTATCTTATTGTATAAACCCCCATGGTGGCTTTTATTATGATGCAACTTGGCCGGGAATAAGGAGCATGCGCTCTTCCTTCTGCCATTCATTTTTATGCCAACTTTTTACCTGCTCACTGCTGTATTATATAATAAAATTCACTTAAAACAATTAGGTTGGTTGCCATGTGTGGGGACCAGCGTTTAGATATGTTTTTTTCCCCAAATACCTCAGCAAGCTGAGGTAAGGTTTGCTGTCTTTTGAGCTGACAATCTCATTATAAACTTGGGGAGGCTGAAGTGCCTTATTTTCACTTCTAGTTCCTTCTTTGATGTATAGCGATTTGACTAATGCTGCCACCTAAAAGAATAATATTAGGCTGTTATGTGGGCAATGTTTTGGCCATTGGACCATTTGGGGAGCTGCAGTGCATGTATTTATGACACAAGTGTGTGGGGTGGAGTTAAAGTGAGGGCAAATTGTATATTCCTCAAATATTACAGAGAGAGGCTAGAGAAGAACATTCATTTCTGCAGAAATGTCCTCACATTCATGTCCTGTGTTTTGCAAACTTCTCTGCCTTCCCCACCTGAATTGTTTCACTAGCCTCAAACATCCCTGATAATTAAGAGTGAGGGGGAAACCTCCTTCCCCATGAAAATGCCAAATGTGAGCATCACTCTGAATTCCCAGCTTCAACGAGACACCTCTGTATTAGCTATCATTCCAGCAGCCATGTTCATTTCAGGGCCATCCCTGCCCAATTCAGCTCATTATAATGCAAGGGATGAAGGCACCATTGGAAGCCCAGGATTAAGAGTGAAGGTAGACATACAGAGGTGATCAGTAGGTGTGGTCCAATTATTTCATGGACAATTCAAGTTAATACTATATCTAAGGTAAGGTTCCAGGCTAGGGCCAGAGCAGTGTTTCTCAACCTTGGCCACTTGAAGATGTGTGGACTTGAATTCCCAGAAGGCTGGGGAATTCTGTGAGTTGAAGTGGCCAAGGTTGAGAAACACTGCTCTAGAGGATGGCCATAGTTGATGCAGGTGAGAGTCATGCAGGTGAGAAGCCCTACAAATGCCTGAAATGTGGGAACGCCTGATGTTCCAGAAGCTGAGCTCTTGAGCCAAAGCTGAGCCCCCAATCTGTGCACATATTCAGTTTCTCTCCATTGTAGCTTCTCTTGTGTTTTGTCTGGGTAGAGCTATCACAGAAACCCTTGTCACAATAAGGACATTTGTAGGGTTGCTCCCCTGTATGGAGTCTCCAGTGGATGACCAGTTGGGACTACTGGTGGAAAGACCGGCCACAACTGGAACACCCAAAAGATTTCTCTCCAGTATGAGTCTCGTGGTGGTTCAGATAAACAGAGCTTAGGACAAACCCCTTTCCACATGTCACACTTGTAGGATTTCTCCCCTGTTGGCTTTGTCGGTGAATAATAAGGGATGATGTATCAGTGAATCCTTTGCCGCAGTGTTTGCATTTATACAGTTGTTCTCCTGTGTGACTTCTCTGATGGGTCACCAGGTGGGAGCTGAGGCTAAAGCTTTTCCCACATTCCAGGCACTGGTGGGGTTCTTCTCCAGTGTGGACTCACTGGTGCTTTTCCAAAGTTGAGTTCTAAGTGAAGCTCTTCCCACAATCAGGACATCTATGAGGTCGTTCTCCAGTGTGGATTCTCTGGTGCTGAATGAGATGGGAACTCTGGCCAAAACTTTTCTGGCATGTGGAGCACTTGTAACATTTTCCCCGTGCGTGGTACCTCTAGTGCCAGATCAGGTTAGAAGCCTCACTGAAATTGATCCCACATTGGGCACACCTGTAAGGCTTCTCTCCTGTATGGATTCTTTGGTGTTTAATCAGATTAGAGTACAAACTAAATATCTTGCCGCAGTTAGAGCAGCTATGAGTCATTCTGTTGGTCTCGATAGCTGTGGCTTCCCCGTTACTCTCAGTGAGGTAGGCCATCTCTGTCACATGAGTCCTCTGGTGTACCTGGAGCCTTGCGCTCTCATCAAAGCTCTTTCCACATTTCAGGCATTTGTAGGGCTTCTCACCTGTATGGATTCTTCGGTGCCTAAGCAGGATGGAGCTACAGTTGAAGGTCTTCCCACATTCCAGGCATTTGTAAGGTTCTTCCTCTGTGTGGATCCTCTCATGCTCAGCAAAATTGTTGCTTCGGGTGAACCTTTTGCCACACTGAGAACATTTGTAGGGCTTTTCACCAGTGTGGATCTTCTCATGTTGGACAAGATTAGAAGTCTTTGTGAAGCTCTTTTGGCAGATGGAACACTTATAGGGGGCTAGCTTGTCCGTGAGTTCCTCCATATCAGTTTCACCATCTGCTCTGTGACCTCCTGGAGTCTTAGATACATCTACTGAAATTTGAGAAAGTAAATCTTCTTGCTCCATTCTAAGTGTGGACAATGAAACAACCTGGAATAGAGACTGGAAGGAAGAAAAAAAAATGAGACATGGGTTCCAAGTAAGTCATTACATTTCCATTTACTCACACATTTCTTATGTATATATTTATATCCCAACCCACCTACCTTCCAAGAAGCTTAGATTGATGTAGTGGTTAAACAGCACATCTAGTCACATGAAGCCAGTGAGGTTTTTTAGTGATTCAGAGTATGCAGAGTCCATTGGAGTTGGGCAGCTTATAAATTCAAATAAAATAAATAAAATAATGATTATACAAATGCTTTCTAGCAATATTTTTTTCCACTAAACCAGGTAAGTTGAAAGTATAAATCAGTGTTTTGCTTAATAAAGGACTGAAAGTGGCCATAATGCTCCAGACAGGATTATACTTTCTCTAAAGAACCAAACCTTATAGTTTGGAGCTAATTTCTGAACTTGCTAGTGGCAGAAATATCCTTGTCGAAGTCCTTGTATAGAGATAAGTTTTGTTTCAGTGATCCCTGCCCTTGAAACTTCCCAGCTGGATTAGTCCAAGATGTATCTGGGGCTAATTTTAAATGTTGGCATAGGTAGAATAAGGCAATGAGATTATTAAATAAGACTTGAATGTAACCAACAGCTGCCATCTTCATTAAAGTGAATATACATCTTATTAATGACTGAGATATAGTATGCATAGAAGTTAGGGGTCTGTGCCAAACACTTCATGAGAAGGTAGGTTTTGGGGACAGCTCTGAATTTAATAAACATTGGGTGGCCCGAGAACCTCAAACATTTCCAGCATTAAAAGTATAGTGGACAAAATGCAGTATCTGAAACAGGTAATTTCAGGCACCGATTGTTACCCTCCTTAGGTCCTGCTCTCACTGCTGAGTGATGTTGCCTCTGGCTTCGGCCTAAAATTTTGCCAGCCAACACAACTGAACACACGCACAATTCATCTGATTCACCATTTTAGCACACCTTTGAGTAAAATAGAATATACTTAACTTTCAGTGCCGTTAGGCCAGTGGATTTATTAAAGTACTTGATATGTTCAACATTTACCTGCTATTCTTCAAAGGCTCCAATTCACCCTAGCTGCAATAAGAAGATAATAAAACTATCCCGCGTTATGGTATTGATGTCAAAGTTGCTGATGTATATATGAAGGCTTGAGAATATTCCTCAAAACAATATAAAGCTAGTTAATGGACCTGAAGTCAAGCTCTACTACAGGGAATCTCACTTGTAAAACAGAAATAAACATGCCACAAACCAAAAAAATAACATCTGAGTTTATTGGACGGTGGAAGGAAATCAGAGTGGAGAGCAGCTTTGGACGCTGTTGGAAAATAGGCCTGTTTTCTGGGGAAGACACAGCTATGTGCAAGTTAAGCGGAAGACATCCTGCTTATACACGTTTAATAGTCTGACTTCCCTAATAACAGAAAAAATAGTAAAACATCCCCAGATGTTTATTCCCAACAACTCCAGCCAGGGCATGCTTTGGCTAGGCTGGTAGGGACTTTATCGGACCCAAGTCCAATCCATTTGGAGAGCCTCAAACTGGGATAGCCTCAAACTGGGTTCTTCCTCTGCAGTGGGTAGATGGAGAGGCGAATGTACACGTGTTGATGCCGAAGCTTTAAACGTTTGCAGGACGAAATTGCTTATCGCTCCGGAGCGCCCTCGCCGCCTCTTTCTTGGTCCCTCCAGGCGCTCGGCCCCGTCGCCGGAGACTGCCTTTCCGCCCAGTTTCTGCCGCCAAGACGGACCAATGGCCCCTGCTCCCCTCACCCCGGCGCGACCCCAACCAACTTACCACGCTCCGGAGCGACTGCGTCCCCGCCGTCCCGCATTAGCGGCGGGCAGCTCCTTGCCAGAGTCGCCTCACCTGGCGGCGCAGAGCATCTCCTCGCAGGGCGCGAGACACAAAGCGAAGCCTCCGGAGGGGATGAAGGGAAAGGCGGACGAAAGGAAGGTGCCACTACCCCCCTCCCCCGCCATTCTCTCGAGGGTCAGCCTCAGAAAGGTAGGAAAAGCGCCTTCACTCGGTGGTTTTAACTCCTCGCTCGCCCTCTCGGGCGCTTTGGAGTTTTGCACCAAGTGGAGTCTATGGTGGTTCCCTCAGGGCAAGTTTGATTTCCTCCCTCCCTTTTCACCCGGAATAAGGGAGGTTAGGGGAAACCATCAGGAGAGGTGCGTCTACACTTGGAGGAGAGCCGTGCTGGCTGATAGTGGCAAAAAATCAGTCTGGTCGCACCTTTTCCCACTAGCACAGAGTTTCTCAAAGTTGGCAACTTTAAGATGGGTGGACTTCAACTCCCCATGCTGGCTGGGGAATTCTGGGAGTTGAAGTCCGCCCATCTTAAAGTTGCCAACCTTGAGAAACATGCGCTAGCACATTTTATTCAAAGGTTTTGTGAACCACTGCACTTAAAGTAACAGCAGGCCAAACCCAGGTTAACGAAATGCCATGACTTGTCCACACAGCATGTCACAATAAACCTTATTAGAGATTAGTGTGATAGCTGGGTTCCTACAATGGGTCGAGACAACATGTTCCCAAAACATGTTGGATTCTGAATTATCTAACCACCGTTGAGCCTCCGCTAATGTACTGTGTGAATCCAGCCTTTGCATGGGGAAAATGTGAGAATAAGCACTTATGAGTATCCACTTTCCAAAGCAGTCCTCTTCCCCATCTTAGGCAGGAGACCAGAGACAAAGAAGGGACTGACTGTTGATTCCCT